GATACTCAGCTGAGCTCAAAATTTGGATAAAAAGACTGTTCCAATGGAAGCGTTTATGCAGGTCATCTTGAACTTGTCATAGAATTACCTTCATTATAATGAATAAATAGGTCACGTGAGGTGTAGGTGTGCGCAGCCAAGATGTCCATTTGAAGGTGTTCATGTAAGAATTACTTGTTCAATTTTAATAGTTCTGAAAATGAATGATTAAAAGAAGTTCAGTTCTGAATTTAAATGTTTGGGGTTTCTTATTTCATTTTCTTTTTTAATAGATTTTTATTCAGCTTAAATTGCAACAGTAATGTTAGTCATTATCACATATGGGCCTAACCTCCAAAGTTCTTAGCTATCTGTTTGAGTGCTTATCCTAGATTATGCTATAGAAGTTGATTTTATGTATTCGCTGTAATGTGAACTTCTTGGGAGTTATAATACTTCATCTAGCTCATAGGTGACTGTTACAAGCTTTGTATAGCTTCTCTTTCCATGTTCTTGAAAGGAAGTATCGCCCCCTTTACTGTTTGTTTCATGAATCAGAATGGGTTTGATTAACCGTTTTCCAATTTACTATGGCTTATTTTCTTGGTTGTTAGTTTACTTTCTAAATGGCACATGGCCCCTCTTATAGACTTTCTCAATTTCCCCAGGGCAACAGTTTAAAACAACCAAGGACTTGCATATTGCGCAGAGGAGAGAAATACAGAAATTAGGCACTTGCCATAGACTGATACAGTGTTGTACCGAAAATCAAAATGATTCTCTGTCTAGTTTTTAATGAAAACCACTGTTAATTCAAAAAGTGCATATTGGGCCTAAGGGGGGTTGACCATGCCCTTTTAAAGAGCTTAAGTGCTCTTCCTTGTTATGGTTAAGTCTGCAACTGCCATTAAATAGAACTACTGTTATCAGGAAAATAATTATAAAAGCACTATTGGAGGTGTATAATGTAGTTGTGGGTATATGCATATCTTTATATATGTGTACATGCTATGTTTGCATTTATGCACACATACGTATTTTCGTACACACATGCAATTGGGTTTTTCAAGACTACTGAGGTAGTTTGAAGTTGCTGTGATGTGTTCCACCTTACCTGATGCTGTTAACTGAGCTACTGAAGTACCTGAAGTAACTTCAATCTCCTGCATCAGTGTTAAAAACTTTTTTATATCTTTGCCTTCTGTTGTAGAGCCTGTGCATAAAGTTATATTTCTTGTTTAGATACTCTTTCAGGTGTCACTGGCCTGTTCAAATTTTGTAGTGCAATTATGAAACAAAGGTGTCAACCATTTTTTTTTAATGTCAGAATTAGTCTTATTCTTTACAATCCTCTCCAAAAAAGGGAAGCTGGTATTTGCAGCTGAGCATCTGTAGTTCAGAGTGCTGATGTTTTCATGTCTGATAACTGCACAGAAAATTACATGTGTGCTGCTGTGTGAAAGAGGCAAGCATTTTGAAGGAGATAATTGCTGTACCTTTTCCTGACCTTTAAAATATGCTTTCTCTTGATGTAACTTTAACTGAAATTTGTATTTATTTGAAGTTGACAAAGATGAAGATGTTTAGGAGTAATTTCCTTGTAAGAAAATACAAATAGTGCAATTTACCGTCGTGAGAAACTGGAATAACTGGGTATTGCATAATCACGAGTGTAGAGTTTTAAAAAGGCTTTATGAAGTATTTTACCTTTATACTGATCTTTGAACTTGAAGTCATGGCATAAACTTTAACATGAGCGACAGCAACATCCTGACCAATTATCCAAATTATCCAGACATCCCAAAATGTTCAGAACACAACACACAGTCTGGATTAAGAGGTTAACTCCTGGAACATCAAAAGAAGTGCATGATAATAAAAACAAATAGTACAAAAATTTGAGGTAACTTCCTTGCTTAATTAATTAGGTAAACCAGG